AATCATAGGCATCGGTGTTCTCCAGTACCTGTGGCCTTTTAACAGGCTAAATTTCTGATTTGCATTGTCCATTTATGTTTATTGCCACTGCTCACAGTTTCAAATTTTTCATGAAACAAACAAAAAGTTACCCCCGTGGAAGCCTTCCCCACGCTGGCGTGTCCCCGGCGATGGAGCATCGGCGATTTACCCTACAAATATAATGACAAGCATGTAGAGCCATTCTGATAGGCATTTAGTGTTCACTTGCCATACAACGTAAGTCTCTAAATGCATTCGCTGCTGTAAGCCTCTGGAAGCTCCTCAGCGATGTTCAGCCGACGTGGATTTTTCACTGGAGTTCAGAGCCACCTCGCGGCCATCCCGCCGGCGTGGGTGCCCGCGTTCCTGATGGCTCCCAAGCTGGGAAGCTCCCGCTCTGGGGCTGCAGCAGGAAAAGCTGCGAGTGCTGTGTAGATCGTGAGAGGTGCTGCTTAAACATGCTTTTAAATCTGCTTTTATTTGAGTTTTGGGTGGCACGAAGAACCATGCCTGGGTATTTGGTTTTGTCTTTTCACGAGCAAAACACTTCATTAAACAGAAAAAAGAATCATCCGGATGAGCAATTATGTTGATCATCTCATCTGTGCTGTGCCACGAAAGGTAGGGAAATATGCAGCTTATTCACTCCAAAGCGCACAGCTCTGTTGTTCACCCAGAGTGCTGCTCGCAATTATCTGTGTGCCTCGGCATAGACAAAGCAAACTAAGTGGCCCACATTCATACTCTTTAACTCTCATAGGCTTCAAGGCAGGGTGGCCACATCCAAACTGTCTACTGGTCCCAACTTCCAAAACTGTGCTAAGGAAATACTCTGCAAAGGTCCAGCTAACCCAGCTCAAACCCACAGCAGGGGCTCTTCCTGTAATTGAGCAGCGTAGCTGGAGTTCCAGCACCCACTTACGGTCTGAGCCATAACTGCTTAATTCTCCAGTGAACTCTTGCATCTGTAGCCTTGCGCACAGTTACGCTGAAGCCAAAGGGCCTGATGTTTCATCTCTGGCCTTGCACGAAAGACTGCAGAAAAGTCTATGTAATTCCTTGACCTAAGGTTTCAAATGCTTAATTTTATTTTATTTTTTTTCAGAGGCTTTATATCGGGAGGCCCAGCCCTGTGACTCACTTAGGCTGAGATCACACTCGTGTCCTAGGGTTAACTCCAGCGATGGACTCTAGAGGGAACATCTAAGTCACTGTGCTCATCACACTTTTATACTGAAATGGGACTTGATCATGGCCTGGGTTTCATATTTAATGTGAATTTGCTACATGCCACCTTTCTCCTGCAGTGGATTTAGCTCATAAATATCAGTGCGCTATGTGGTACCTGCCCTGAGCTGTCTAAGCGGAAGTGAAGAATTTGTATGATCTTTTCAGTTTTATATATTTGCTTCTCTGGAACATTCTTTCCTCAGCCTATACATGAAGGTGAGCCAGTTTCAAGAACAGTGGAAATCAGAAATAGAGTTGTACACAGGAATCCTTTTCTCTTCCTGCTTGGATTGATGCATCAGGGAAAATGGGAATCTGACCAGCGTCGCAGTGCTGGGAGTGCAGCAGAAAGAGGAACAGCAGCGGTACTGTAAATGAGCCCAGTGGATAATAATCCATGGAAGTGCTTAGGCTTCCTTCTTGGGGTGGTGACTGACAGCAGAGGTGGAAAACCTGGAAAGAAAATAATGAAAACAGGCTCTGGGATGAGGTGGCTTTTTCATCTCCTTAGGGAATTTTGTGCAGGACCGATTCTGTATTCAAGCACGGTCATGGTCTGGAAGGCACCAGGGAGTGTAGCCAGCTCACATATTTTAGGGCTGAATTTGAACTTTATGTTGTCATTTTTATATTTTCTGATCAAGTTTGCATGATATGCTAAACTATACTTCTTTAAGCAAGCTGAAACTTCACTTCCAGTAATCCCTAAATGTGCACTCTCTAAGCAGAGCATTACTTCTGCTGCACCACATGCATCTGTATGATTGATGAAGAAAGTATGAAGTAGGAGAAAGAAGACACCACTTCTTTGCTTTCATTGCTTGTGCTGGTGGTTTTGAGATTAAAGCTCAGCCTTTTGTTTTTTACTTGATTTAATCCAATTGGCATTTCACTTCCAGTAATCCCTAAATGTGCACTCTCTAAGCAGAGCATTACTTCTGCTGCACCACATGCATCTGTATGATTGATGAAGAAAGTATGAAGTAGGAGAAAGAAGACACCACTTCTTTGCTTTCATTGCTTGTGCTGGTGGTTTTGAGATTAAAGCTCAGCCTTTTGTTTTTTACTTGATTTAATCCAATTGGCATTTTTTTTTTTGCTGAAAAGCCAATTCCAGTCAGTTACTGGAGATTGTTTCCAGATTATATCCCCCCCCCGCCCTCCGCTCTTTTTGCTAAACAGATTTTCTAAAGGGCATGTCTGTAACTCAGATAATTTGTGTTCAAGCATAAATCTGTACCAAAAGCATGAAAGCTTAGTGGGGAAGGTAATCTTTCTCCATTTTGTCAATAAGTAGGCAAGTAAGTACATTGCCTGCTGTGGCATAACGTGCTGAGGGAGCCGTATGTGCCAGTAATGGCATACTGAGTCCTGCATGATGACTTGTACTGTAACGCTAGCAACAAGCATCCTGCAGTCCTCATGCAGGCAAAGCTTCTCAGTGAAGCAAGGAAAGCAAGAGCTAGCTAAATATGAGCAGTTTACAGGCTAGTGCAAAAATGCTCTGAGTAGATGTGGGAGGACAGGCAGAAATGGTGTCTGTCTCTGTAAGCTGCTAAGAGTTTCTGGCAGATATAGGAACCAGACCACTTGTTGCGCGTCACAGCAGGTCCACTGCTTTCCAGTGTCCCTGAAGAAAACCAGAATTTAACTGTCAGATCCCCTTGTGATCAGTGCTCTCAGCAGAGAAGCCAGACTGATCTACCTAGAAACTGGAATGCCAAGGCACAAAAGGAGAAGGTGAAAGAGACCTGTGTATTTTCATACAGAGGTTTAAGCTAAGTACAGCGCACATAAAAGCACATCATCCCAAACAAGAAATGCCTTCATGATCCTAAAGAGCTGTATGGGACCCACTGGCATTGTTCTTCCAAAGAATAAGTGGGGCAAGTCAGAAGCTGATGACTTTAATTTTGTGAAGTTCCTATGGCAAGACTATCAGATTCATACTTGAATAGGACTCAGAAAATATGGTCTGGCAGAGTAAAATTAGACCACCACAGAAAACTAAAGCAGCCTCAGGTCTCCAGCCAACTTCAAATTAAACAAAAACAAGTTCCTCATCCCCAGGCTAAAATTTTTAGACCTAAAAAGCCTCATCTCAGTTGAAGAACTCTTCTGTAGCTGTATGAAATAAATGGGCTGACCGTGTAACTATACTATTCAGCGGTTACATATCTGCATCACCAATAATGTCTTTGGAAACAGTTCTCTCTGCAGAGAGACCAAATTAATCTACCTCTGGTTCCCTTTGTTCTCAGTTTTTAGTGGTTGCAGACACCTTGCAGTCTTTGTCTACCAGGAAAACCAAGACAGAGACAGTAGAAATCACTTGTCCAGTGCCAACAAGATAGCAGGAAATTCAGTCTTCATCTCTGGAGTTCAAGATAGTATCCTTAACACTGAAAGAACACAGTTCTTTCTCTTTAGACTCTCCAGTGGGTAGACTTCATTTCACTACTTTGAGGATGATCAAACACTGGAAAAAGCTGCCCAGAGAGGCTATGGAGTCTCCATCCTTGAGATACTCAAAACCCAAATGGACACAGTCCTGAGTAGCCTGCTGTAGTTGATCCTGCTCTAAGCAGGGCAGGGTGGACTAGATGATCCCTTCCCGCCTCATCCGTTCTTTGATTCTGCAATTCATTTCCTTATGATGCCTCAGCAGATCTGGAAAGGGGTGTCTTGAGGCTCTGTTTGACAGGTACTGCTGTTTCACACTCTAGTACTGTCAGCCCCCCACACAAAAGTAGTTTGGCACATTCAATACTGAAATGCTCACTCAGGATGAGTCTTTTGCAATAGGAACAAGGAAATTTCTAAAGTAAACATGCTCTGATTTGTTAATGGATTGTGTAACTTCCACTTTATTGCTGGTAAAGTAGGTTTCTTTAAAAAACAATTATGTCATCAGGTTCTCTTTGTGGATTGGTTGGCTATATTAAGAAACATTGGCCTATGCCTTTAAATACTGTGTCATCATGATAGTCTTTGAAGAGTGGTAGTAAGTTCTCTCTGCAGGGGAACCAGTGACCTAAGGAACCTGAGGTGGCAACAATATTAGAAGAAAGCAATCTAATACTGAACGTCAAGAAAGAGAAGAAGGTTGATGCTGGAAATTACTATCCTGTAAGTCTAACAAACTTCTATCTCATATAAATTAACCGTGAATATATGAAGGCTGAGAACATTTTCTTAACTCCCACATGACAACAGATCTATGAGCAAAAGCAGCATGGACTTACACAGGATAGCTATTGCCATTGGTGCAGACCATGGCAGGAAAAATGTAGTCAATAAAACCGATTTGGATAGTTGTTCAGTACAGTGTTTTATACTCCATCTCACTCACAAAATTAAGTCATTCAATCTAGAAAATGAAATCTGTTATGGACTGAACACTGACCATAAACAATGTCTGAGATGATAAAACAGAAATATAGGGCACTGCAGGAATCTTGGTTACATCCAGACTTGGTTTATACCTTCATTTTTTTGGTCTATAATAATAGTCAAGAGCAATGTACCCACAATTTCAGAAGATTCTGATACCAGAGAAATTCAAAGGGGAAAAAGTAGGGAATGAAGGTAAGACAAGAGTATGGAGAAAAAACAGGAGATAAGGGGGTGAATTCCAAACTAACGGGATTTCTCTCCTCTTCTCCTTCTACTCTCCACAAAACCTAAAAAAAAAAAAAAAAGCCCAGCATGGGAATAATCCATTTGTTCATCATCTTGGTTTTCAAGGGATGGCTGCTCCTAGGAGAAAGCTAACTGTAGTTGGAGATGACTGCTGTGGTAAGACATGCCTCCTCTTTGCTCTGCGTCACGAACAGCTTCCCAAGTGCTACGAGCCAACTCTGTTTGATGCTTACACCACTGACACAGAGGTAGACGGGAAGGAGATGAAACTAATTCTCTTTGATGTGGCAGGGAAGAATGAATTCAGTTACCAAAATCTCCGCTCAGTGTTCTACAAGGACACCGACATTATTTTAATGTGCTTCTCCGTGGACAGGCCTGACTCACAGCAAAACATCCTTGATTTCTGGGTTCCAGAAATCAAACTGTTCTGCCCCACAGTACCTATTATTTTGGTGGCTACCAAGACAGAACTAAGGGGTGATGAAGGTGTTAAGAAGAAACTAACTACTCCAGGCAATGAGCCAATTAACACTACAGAAGGAAAAGCTTTAGCTGCCAGCATTGGGGCATATGCTTACCTGGAGTGTTCTGCCAAGACAAAAGAAGGTGTTGATACAGCCCTGGAGATTATTAGCCAATGTGCATTAAATGTGAAAAGGAGGAGAAAGAGACACGACAGGCAGTGCCGACTTCTGTAAGAGGAGTGAACGTTATTTTGGTGTTGGATTTCACAACGTGGAAAGGTAAGTAGATGTCTTTGTTGCTGTTATGTGGGTGCTATAAGAGCTGCTTTTATGTTATAGGAGGAAAAAACTCCCTTATGTTTCCAAAGTGTCACACTTGAAAAGTTCATTTCCTTCTCCACCTCCAAAACAGGCTGAAGAGCTCTATTCCAGATTCGAGTTGAGTACTGGTCTTGAGAAATGGAAATGACCAAGCTACATACAGTTCTCCACAGACGTTTTTGGTCAAGGGAGATACACACAGACTAGGACAGCAACCTAAGCACAAGAACATGTTGTTCCTGAATCTAATCCTGGCTTCCTGGTTGCAAGGCTTAGTGGCAAGCAGCTGTGCTGACAAGGTTTCCTAGTGTGCACTGCCTTCCATACACTTCCTTGAAGGATGTCCTTAGGGAAGGATATCACCACACACATATCCAACAGTCTGCTGTACTAATAGCAGTGGGTTTCTGACTGGCAGAACAGGTCTGACTTTCTCTAGGATTCATTTGTAGAACTGGCCTGGGCATGGTTCCATAAATGCATCAGGAATGCAATGCTCTAGCATAGGGTACAATGAAGGCAGTGCTATCTCCACCTCTTCTTCAGGCACAGGTAAATAAACTGCGGTAAAACAGCCTGGCTCTGGGGTAGGTTAATCCAGTTCTTGATAGAATTCCTACCTTAAAAGGAGAGAAGTAAAAAGACCAGACTTCAGTTTCTAAACCTCTTTGTCCTTATGGTCTGAATGTATCTTAAATCTTTCTGTCTTTCCTTAGCACTTGCAGGCAGAAGACATGAAGTAAAGGGAATGCCAACAACCACACTCTCAGCTTTGCAAGTCATTAACAATCTGGAAAGAGACGGAGACATGCTGTCAACCTAAGCAGAAAACCTCAGAGAGGCAGAGAGATGGACCAAAACGGAAAGACTTTGGGTGCATCTCCATACTCCTCCTTTCTCTGAAGCACTGATTGCTGGCAGCCCAAGGAACTGAGTTAGGGACTGACATTAAAGGTGCAAGTCTGGGAGCAGGCAAATAATGTAACTGTAGGATTTGAAGACACATGCCGTAACACAGTAATTGAACAGAGAAATGTTTTAAGGTAAACCTCTTCTGATCCTGAAGTAAAGGTAGAGGGCTAATTGAGCATAACTGTCATGAACTAGAAGAACAGGGAAGCCTATCACTTTCTTTTGCTGACTTCCTTGGTGGTGGTTTCATCACTCTGGCAGCTTGGTTACAGTTTCCCAGGGGGAAACAAAATGAGAGTAAATGCAAATTTCTAAACTTATTATGCCACCTGGAGCTGTACACTTAGCAAACTAGCTTTTCCAGGTGAGAGACCTAGTAAAATACACACTTAAGATGTTTTCTTACCCATTCTTCCCACCAGTATTTGTCTATTGATGGTACCATGGGTAGAAATACTGAGGTTGGCCAAGTATTTATTATTGGATGGGTTGCTGCTTTCCTTCTACATCACTTTTTAGTAGCAATTTTGAAGTTAGTATGCCACAATCACACTGTGGCATACTAACAAATGCTTCAAGGGTGACACTTTGCATTTCCAAAAGTACTTTCTTCCAAGAATCTCTGAGCACTTTTCAAAATGAATTACCAACCCACCTCCTGGTGACAAGCAGGTGTTATTTCCATGTTCAAAACTGAGAAACTTAAACTGCTGCCTAAAGTAACTGTGAACTGTCTACTTCCTGGAGCTTTCTTTTTCTTGACTTGTTTTCCTTATGCTTTCCCTTTTCCCTCCTGGACCATTCTTAACCTCTATTTCCTCTCCTCTCCGTCTATAATAATCCCCTCAATGCAACCTGATACTGTACGCAAACTGTAAAACTCTTCTCCCCATGCAACTTGGACGTGAGTGTGTGCTGTGCATAAGTGCTCTCCTGATTCAGGTAATAACATACATTAGTGCATTTCAGAGAGCTGTATTTATGTAGATAGGTTTAAATTGTTATTTCCATTTTATATGTGTATGTGTGGGTGGGGAGGATTAGACTGCAGATAAGTTAAAGAACACAGGTGTCTCAGGTGCCTCTGATGTGGGGTATTGAATTGGAGAGAGGCGGTTTTGCAAAGATGCTAAGCACTTACTGCTCCCACTACTTGGAAAGTTCAGACCACTTTGGCGAATCTGAGCTTACACTGCCTGTTGCTTAGTAGGACACTGGTCAGCATATTGACTGGCGTCTGTTTCCAGTCTAAATAAACAAGTATTTTCCTCCAGAAGGGTGCTTTGTTCAAGATAAGGGTAACTGGTTTCACTCCCGGTATTCACTGTACATATCTCTGAATTAAACTGTTGTTGCACTGATCTTAGTTTCTTAACATTAACCTTTTTATTGCTTTTATGTAAAATAAAAAGTTGCCAAGCTGTTTCCACTGTATACTCCTCTGCAGCTGGAAATGAGAAATCCGTGGGAGGTTTTTCATCATCCTTTTGCGAAAGCTGTATAAATTCTCTTTTTGCCATTTTTGTCAAAAAAATCCAAATGCTCTTCCTCTTTACCTGTCTCGGAGCACTTTTCCAAGAGCAGGTTACTATGTGGGTGTTCAAGAAATCCACTGGACAGTTGTCTATATTTTAGGGCATCTGGCTCCCGTGAGAAATCCACAGACCAGATAGTTTCCATTTTTTGTATTTTGCCATTGGCCTGTGATTCAGAAAGAAGGGGATATAGCCCAGTAGTCAGGATATTAGCCTAAGACATATGTATCCGGGGTTGCTTCTCTACTCCACCACAGGCTATAGTCTGTACGACCGTACAGAAGAGACTGTGCACGTCTGCACTGCAAAGTAGCTGGGAGGAAGCAGTCCCGCCATAGCAGTACGGAGCTCAGAGGTGCTAGTTCATCCTTCGCATTTAAGATCCTGTCTTCAGCAGCCTCTGCAGCCTGCAGCGCACATACACCCTCTACGCTGATGTTAGGCTTCCTACCCCCAGGCCTGCTGGGGTGGTGGTTGTGCTCATGCATGTGAAAAGCTCAGACATTAGCCCTGGGACTGCTAGAAAGTCTGTAGGAGACTGACGCTGGGGAAGTGAGACATGCCCATATCTTAAACCTGGAACAAAAATCGATAGTGATGAATCCATGCAGAAGCAAACCGTCAGCAGTCAATATCCAGGCTAGACTTGAGCCAGAAGCGCTATCCTCTAATGCAAGTCTTTCTTCCAGTGTTGGAGGGGAGAGGAGGGGAGAAGGAGAGGAAGAGCGAGAGGGAGAGGAAAAGAAAATCAGAAACTGTTTTATTAACCATTTGTTTTACTTTTGTGACTACATATTATATATGGCTTTTTATTAAGGGAAATAAGAAGCAATGGAAAGAAGTACTGTGAGAGAGAAGATGAAAATTAACTGAACATTCACGTATCATTCAACAGGGCCATTTCTAAGATGAAATACACTGTTTACTCCCCACCACAACAGTTTCAGACAGATATCCAACTGAAACAGCAGGGGAATTTATACTATATTAGGTGAATAAGATGATATGCATTGCAATTAAATAAGAGCTTCTTCACTATTTCAATGAAGCAAATATGCAAATAAATTATATTGATGTCTTTCAGTGGAAATATAGAGAAAGTAAGAAAGAAAATCAGTACATAGCAGTAATAAGGCAATATGTGAGAGCAATTTTCCATTTTCAGTGCAAAGATAGTTTATGTATTTCACGCAATAGTGGTGTTGTAGCCTGCATGCCTAAGAATGTTGTCAAGACAAGGTTTGTAGACAGGCTGACTTTGTTGGGGAAAAAACAGACAAGCTCCTGGACACTCATGTCTTCGAACACCTCTTCCAGATCTCGTCTGGTAAAGGATCTGATTTCTCCCTGTAAAGCTCTACATATAGTGATAAGCCACGAAAGCCATGACAATCTAGAATGTGTTTTGTACAGAGATTTAGGCGGAACCTGTAAGCTTCAGTAACATCTGCAAAGTGACATATCAGTAGTGCTTTAGCAAAAACATACCCACACAGCACACAGTACAGGGCTTTGGAAAGAAGCGAAGTTTGAAACTAAAAAAAGCTCCCTGTGTTATTTCCTTTTCATTGCCTGTTTCAAGGATGGAGTGGAGAGAGGGTAATGTGTTTTGCTTAGCAAGACCATTCTCTATTTCATATTAGTTTCCTGTGCAAATATGTCTCCCTAGCGGACAATCCATCAGTCTACCTACTAATTCATCTGTTTACTCAAAATTATCATCAGACAAGAAGCATGCTATATTTTATGAAAATAGATTCTCCTAGGCTTTTGTCTCAGTTTTCTTCATAATATCCTGCCACTTAATCAAATTCATTTTCTGAAATGTACCGCATCTGTTTTAAATAATTCATCAGCTTAGAGTGTATCTCTGCAATCACTCGGAGAACGACAAACTGATACAGAGCCTGTAATTTGTTACTATGTTTTGATGGAAATAAGGGACTGGACCATGGTATTCCTCCACAGCAGCTCAGAGTAGTGTATGAAATGGGAGAAGGACTGCAACTTTATTTGCCAAACTTAATTTTAGCTGTCCCTAAGGGCTTGAAAGCCTCTGTTCAGCTTCATCTCTGCTAGTGGACATGGCCATCATTGAAATTACCTCCACACTGCTGATGTGTTCACATCTCAATCTGGTCCGTTCCCGAACATGTGCTTTATGCCAGCTACCTCCTGTGTCAGGGTGAGACAATTTTCAGCGGGGACTTGTCTTAGCACATCCCTTGGGCTGTGCCTGTTGAGGAGACAGGCTGGTAGAGGAACATTGAATTCATGAATCACTCCAATGACTGGTTTCTGAGCAGTTTGATGCCTTGGGAGAAACTTTGTCAGCTCAGGTGTGTCTGAACCAAGCAGTGTCGCAAGGTGGCTGTGCCTAGGTGCTGGGAGCAGGGGATTTAGCTGCCTGTCATCATCCAACTTTGACTGAGAAGGAGTTTGCAAGCTTGAAGGCATTAAAAAGAG